TTCGACGTGCCGGTTGCGAGTTCCGGCGCCGTGGTGGCCGTGCCGGAGGGGCTGCGTGAGCGGCGTGATGCTGACGGAGTCGGTGACGTTTGGCGGCGGGCGTGCGAGGGCGTGCTTCGACTCGGTGGTGTTCAGTGGACCGATCACTGTGGCGGTGGACCTGCGCTCGATGGACGCGTTCGCTGACGCGCTGGACGTGACGCTGCGCCACTGCGCGCTTGCGGGCGGTGCGCAGCTGCGGATTGGCGGCCTCAGCGAGAGCACGGCGCGCCTGATGCCCCACGCCCTCGTCAACATGACGAATGTGACGTCGCTGGAGGGCACGATTGTGCTGCATGGCGCGATGCCGCTGCACTCGAGTGTGCTGCTGGCGAACTCAACGCTGCGCGCGACGGTTGGCGGGTCGCAGTACGTGCCGACGGCCCGTGGACACGAGGGATTTCGGTACGGCCCCGCGCTTGCCCTCGACGGCGTCCGGCTTCTGTCGACGCGGTTTGTCTTGACGCGGTCGACGCTGGTGTGTGGCGGGGGCTCGTGCGCTGCGATCCTCGTGGAGCGCGGCCTTGGCGCCAAGCTGTCCAGCGTCTTCTACATGGACAACTGCGTTGTCAGTTCACAGACACACGTGATTTACGCTCTTGCGTCGGACCTGCGCGTTGGTGGCGGTTCCGTGTTCTCCATACAGAACAGCTTGTGGAGTGCGCCGAGCACCGAATACGGCAAAGCCGCGTGTGTGTTTGAGGATGTTGTTGTGGCTGGCGGCAGCGTTCTGCAGATTGTGTCCAGCACGTTCCGTCTCGGCTTCGCCATGCTCATGGCAAGTACGCTGACTGTGACCGGCGGCAGCTGGCTGGTGCACCGCGACAACGAGTTCCGCACCGCCTACGTTGTGTACATAGTCAAGGAAAGCAGCGTGGCGTTCCGCGATTGGAGTGTGTGGTCGATAATTGACAACAACTTCACGTATGGCTCGTTCTCGCCCTTTACATATATGACAAGCAAGTGGTCACCACCATCCGACACGCGCCCGATCATCTACGGCGTGTGCAACGCGGCAAGGGGCTCACCTGTGACGAATTACGGAGTCGACCTCAATATTGGAGCACCCGTGATGGTGTTGGACTGCGGCGCGTGCACCGTGGACGCCGTGTGCTTTGCTGCGAGGACGAGCAGCATCAGCGGCTGTGAGTGCGTGTGTGCTGCTGGCGGCCACGGCGACACGTGTCTGCCAGCTGCGGTTCCGGACGGCCTTGGGCCGCTCCCGCCCCCCGACGCGAGGGACACGGAGGTCCGCTGCGTGCACGGTGGCAGCATCAGCTCTTTGGACGTTCCTGATCCCGGTGTGCGTGGTCTGTGCTTCGTCAGCGTGACCTTCACTGCCGCGATTGTGCTGGACCTGTCGTATTTTGACGCACCACAGCAGACACTCAACATCACACTGCTGCAGTGCGTCCTCGTGGGCCTGTCGATCAAGGGGAGTGGTGCATGCGTGCACGTGAACGTGGTCTCCTCGATGGTGGATTCTGGTGAGCTGGTTTTTCAGGGCCATTTTGGTGCGAGCTCCCAGATACTGGTGGCGGGAAGTACGATTGTGACGACGTCGGGCCACGCCATTTTATTTGTGAAGTTTGCTCTCAGTGCGAATATGACGCTGCTGCTACTCGACAACTACATTGAGGCGAGTAGGTACGCAGTCTATTTCATCAATGGTGTTGTTATTGATGGTGGCGGGATTATTGTGAGGGGAAATACACTGAGCACAACGGAGGACGATGACGGTGTGGAATCATCTGTTTGCGTTACTTTTGTTGATGTGAGGAACGGCGGCTACTTTGACGTGGAGGACAACACGATGAGCTCGGCTAACGGCGTTTATCTTTTTGGGGATACCACCGTGAACTCCGCGGGGCTGCTGCGAGTGGCGGACTGCGCCTTTGTCGGCAGGACAGAAATTTTTGATTCCGCGCTGGTGTATGTGTCTGGCTCGGTGACACTCGAGGGTGGTGCGCAGTGGCGCGTGGAGGGCAACAGCGTGGGTGCAGCCTCAGTATTATCTATTCCGTATTCCTGGCAAGAAATTCAGCTGTCGGGCAGCGGCACCACCGTGGCGCTTGCGCACAACCGTCAGGTGGACTCGACGGTTTTATTCGCTATTTTTTTTCCATCGAGCATTGTTGTTGCGTTACCCGCGCGGTTTGTGGCTGAGTGCAACCTGCAGGGCGATGAGGAGGTGTCGTACGACGATGTGTTTCCGGAGGGCGTGGTGGTGTTCAGGTGCGGCACGTGCGACGACGACGCGGCGTGCTACATGCCCGGGACGGAGTCGGTGGACCGCAGCTCGTGCTCGTGCAGCTGCAAGGACGGATGGCATGGCGCGTCGTGTCTTCCCTTCGAGGTGTTCGACGCGGTTGTGCCGCCCGTAGCGGAGAGAGCCGTCGACGGCGACACGAGCTGCGTGGTGAACCAGACGCTGACGAGCCTCGCGCTGAAGATGTGGAAGACGCACCACTGCTACGTGGGCGTGACATTCAGCGGCAGGCATTCTGTGCTGACGTTCTTCCTCAACAGCATGCCGCTGCATCTCCCCATCAACATCACGCTCACCGGGTGCACATTCCGTGAGGGTGCCGCGCTGCAGTTTGTTGGGGGTGTTGAGGCGGTCGAGTCGTCCGGCGTCCTGATCCGCATGAGCCAGACGGTGATGCGGTCCTCCGTCGTTGTGTTTGCGCTTGCCCTCCCGCAGCGCTGCGACATCGCCATCACGGAGGTTGATGCGGTACAGTCCTCTACAGTTCAGTTTTTGGACACTGTGAACAACATGCTGAGCGTGGTGATGTTGCGGAATGTTGTTTTGAGTGCGTCGACGCTGTTGGTGAGCAACGTCAAGGCGCATGCAACGAGGTACGGTGCTTTTGGTTTTTACTCGACTGGGACACTGACGCTGGTGGGTGGCAGCTCGCTGTACGCGCGGTACTGCAGCTTTGAGGGATACAAATACCTGTTTTACGTGCACAGTCTCAGTGTGAG